GGGGGGAGAGGAGATGGTGGGGGGAGGTGACGGAAGAGGAGATGGGGGAGGAAGAGGAGATGGAAGGGGGAGAGGAGGGGGCTGGGGGGAGGAGAGGAAGGGGAAAGGAGAGGAGCCTGGGGAGGGGAGACCAGGGGGAGAGACCGGCTCACTGGAGGGATCTGGGGGAAGGAGACAGGCTTACTGAGGGGTTTAGCGGGGAGGAGGAGACAGGCTTACTGGAGGGTCTGGGGGGAGAGGAGACAGGTTCATGCGGGGTCTGGAGGGAGGAGACGGGCTCACCGTCGGCGCCCAGGGCGCCCTTGTGCCGCTGCCTTCTCCTCCCACCCCTTCTTCGGCTACCTTTCGGGAGACCCTCCTGCAGACCCTCACTCCCAGCCCCTGCCCCTCAGAGTCCTCCTCCCCATCTTCCCAGCTCAGACCCAGCAGGTGAGGGATCCAGGGGCCGCAGAGGCCCTACCTCGGGGCAGCTGCTTCCTGGGTTTTGGAGCAACCTCAGCTCCCTGGGGCCTTGGAGTCAGCCACAAGGAGGGAGGAATGTGTTTGCAGTCAGAGGGGGTTGGGGGCCTGGGTTCAGGGCTCCGCCTCTCTTTGGCTGTGGACAGGATCCCGGGTTTGGGGCTCCGGTGGAGGCCTCCCTAGGAGGAGGAGAGGGCGAAGGCTTGGGGTGGGGTGGGGGTGGGGGGCAGAAAGAACTGCACCGTTGACCATCTGGAAGTCCTGCCCGCACTCCCTGTCTCCCTCCCCTCCCCCACACACCCGCAGGCAAAGGGCAACACTCAGGGACCTCTCTGTAACCATGGCATGTGGAGGTATGTGTGCATATGTTTCCTTGCGTGTGATCTGTGTGCACCTGGGTTTCTGTGTTTGTGTCTGTGTGTGTACACACGTGAAGCCTCTGTTGCCTGGCTTTTCCCAAAAAATCAGTTAAAATGATGGATACATTTACACGGGCTCTGAGGTACCGGTTGGGGGGGCGCAGAGCCGAAAACCTGTGTGTGTGTGTGTGCGTGTGTGGGTGGGTGGGTGGAGGGAGGGTCCTGGCCAGCCCCTCGCTCCGCCTGCTGGCTGCCTGGCTATTTCTTTGCAAAGAGCGTTTTCATTTGAGGCAACGAAATTAAAATCTCCTCTTGGCGTCTGCCTCCTGCCCTCCCGGTGAGAGAAACCCAAACAGCCCTCATGACGCGGGAGCCCTTTCCCTGCCAACAAGCCCGCCCTGGGCGCACCAGTGGGTGCCTTTCCCGGGGTCGACCCAGCCGCGAGCGCGCCCCCCACCCCAGCCCTGCGGCCTGGGGTCCTGCCCGGCTTCCAGGCCAGCGAGACGTGGGATTCTGGGCGCCCGGGAGAACTTTTCCGGGGGCTGATCAATCGGCCAGCCAGCGGCGGGAGAAAAGTTCTGGGAAGGTGGCTGCACCCAG